CCCATGGTTTACCATAAAATGTATGATGGATTTAACAAATTCTTTTAACAAGACGTTCAAGAGTAAATTTTGCCTTGAACATTAATCAATAAAAACAAGACCATAATCAGTAAGATAATTTAATGCTGTATAGAAATCTTGATCATAATTGAGATAGTTATTAAATTGAACATCCCGATTGACTTGTTGAATATCATTTTGATTCCAATAAATAAATCGACAATCGTGATATCTTGCACATGATACATTTTTTGATGTTGGATATGTTTGAAGTGAAACACTTGAATATAAACAACGATGTATGTTAGAATTTTTTTGATTTAATATTGGTTGATTCCAGATTATTTCAAGAATATGATTATCTAATATCACAATTATGCAAGCAAATGAAAGAACAAGGCATAATTGACATAGGGTTCAAATATACTTGACGCTCTTCTCTTCATTCACACACATCCTAAACATTTTTATAATAAAATAAATCTTCCTGCCTAATCCAACATCAAATTATGAGTTATATCCTTTCGATTGAATGTGCAAAAAATGAAACGAGTGTGGGTGTGAGTATGAGTGTGAGGTGTCGGGGTAAGGATGGAGAAAAAACTAGTGCCAACACCTACGCACACCCACACACATACATACTCGGGCCCAGACCCACATGCACACCCATCCACACCACACCAACACCGTCGGCCACTATCAAGATGCTTTTAATATTTGCATCTAATTTGTGTGTTTTTTTTTGTATTTACCAGCTCGTAATTCGCTTTATTCAAGAAATCTTATCTACCCTTGTCTTGATAATTTGTTGTTGTTTTTCATTCGACTTGACTGTTCTTCGAGAACGATCGCCAACAGAGTGGCCAGATTAAAAATTTAAAAATTAAAAATTAATCAGAAAGGGTAGTTTTTTGCAAACTAGTGGGTATCGTGTTAAGATGCTAGCATCCAACGCTTCACTGGGTTTCTGTTCATCGATTTATACTTTATTTTCAGAAGTATTTCACTATAAAATAAGACAATGTAATGAATATATCGCTGATCTAATAAAGAACACTTAGTGTCGAACATTTTCACTAAATTCAAAATTCGTTCACAAAAAATTGCTAAACCAAACCACATATATATGATGTAGATTAAAAAATCTCATGAAAAAAGAAGGTTATGCACCATCATATCGATATTATTCATATTTTGCATTTTTTCGAATTTGCTTTAACAAGTGTGTCTCAGATAATATATGTTAATAAAATCGTTCACAAGAATTTACCATTCATTCTTATTTTAAGTGCAGCATTGATCAATTACTTACCTATACGATTACGATAATCCGATTGTAAATACTGACACTTTATCAGATTCATGCTCTGAAGCTATAAATTGTGTTACTAAGCGATTATTTTCGAATGATTTAAGAGATTTTTTATTTGCGTGACTAATCATATGTATTTCGACAGCTGATTTTCGATCAAAATCAAGAGAAAACGTTTAAGAGAGGCTGTATATCGAGCTTCTGTTAAAGGACGATTTATTTCTTGCAACCACGACGAGTATTCATCAATAAATAACCAACCTGTATGAAAAACGTCTTTTTTTCTTCAGTTTACAATAAGATCAAACCATTGAAACGGGCCGAAACAAGAAATTTATCCAACTTCAATTCACTAACTGGCAGTGCAACTCAGAGACTTCCAATTATTAATGGAGAAAAAATATGGTATAGTATCGATGTTCTATAGTAATGGGTTATAATCGCACATAATTCCACTATCAAAGTTGCGATCTGAAAAAGTTCCTAATTCGAAAAAAAAACAGAACAAAAAGTCAAAATCAGAAAAATATTCAAAAGTCAGAAAGTTTCCCTATTTTTCATAAGATTTAGCTACCCTGCCCATATTCCCACACTCACACCCACCCTAATAGATCTATAGAATAGAATTGCTCTTTCTCTTACAATAAGATTCATAGACACCCAATACAAAACTTGTAGCTTTCGTATACAAGGTATCTCCTGTTTATTTTAAAAACTAGCTATTCAATAACATAAATGAATTGATCAAATAATATACTCAAATACTACGCAGTATTTTGCATGTAATTGATCATTTCTTGCCAATCAGAAAACTTGTTTGGATATTTGCTACTGACAAAAAAAACTTGATCAACTCCTTTCAAACCGAGTATTTTAATTTCATGTCCAATCTGTTGTTGAATTTGTTGCTGTTCTTCATCGTCAACTTTGTCAAATTTATTGAAAACAATCGCATAACGTAATTCAAGTTCATCGAAGAGTTTCATCATACTGGAATTTTCTTTGACTGTTGCTTCAATTAAAATCAAACGTTTCGAGAGACCTTTGAAAAATGAAATATATTCCATAGTCATATAAGTCATTTCATCATTTCGACCAGGAACATCCCATAGTGTAAAGTTTGGACTTTGATATGATACGATATTTCTTGTTGTTTCACCAACACCAGTTTCGGCGAGCTTTTGGCCAATAATAGCATTTAGCATTGTTGATTTGCCTGTTGATGTCAAACCAAATAAACCAATATTACAACCTTCCATTGGCATTGGTTGAGTTAAACGAGCTAATTCAATAAAAATTTTCTTCATTTCTTTGTCTTGTTCAGTCAATACTTCGAATGAATCGATCTTTTTTCTTTTCAATTCTTCATTCAAATTTTGAAAACTTTGAATTAGTTCCACATTTTGTTCACGATAGTTACGTATTTGTGCGCGTAATGCAGCATTTTCATCTGTTTCTTGATGTTCTTGAGATATTGATCTGTGTGTTGTAGTACTTTGGAACAGTTGCTCATGTAATGGAGATTCCAATCCTTCGGTTGTTTTTGTTGTGTCTTGATGTAGTTGATGGTTTGGCGATAATGTTTCTTCGGTTGGTCTTGCGGTATCTTGCGGTTGGAACATTGTTGTATGTGATGTTGTATTGTCTCTTGTCTGAGCATGACGTTGAGATGATTGTTGACGGGTGAAATCATTTACACCGAATAAATTTTGACCACCTAGATCAAAGAATCAACAATAGACATGTATTATGTCTTTAGAAAAATAGTTAAAGTAGCATAATTGACGTATCTAGTTCAGTGTTATTTTTTTTGTTTACGTAGAAAATGAATATAAATTTTGAAAAAAAGACAATACTAAACTTAAAAGTTTGAGATCAAGCAGCTGTTACTATGAGAATGGACATAACAATAATACAAATTTTGAAACTAATCTTTCTAGTTTTGATGATTTTCAAATTTTCATGTGAAAAATTTACGAAATCTATTCATCAAGCATTCAAATATAGGATATCGAACTGTTGAAAAAGCCAGAAATCTAACTTTTCAATCAATATACGTGCTGAGCATGATTTCACGCAAACTATATACATTTTGAACAGTGAATGTTACATGAATTCTTTTTTTCCTAAGTAATTAACTTTTTATTTCTGTTTTGGTCCACTCATGAAAATTTGTTAGGCATAGAGCAATCTCATTTAAGTATGATAGCAAATAGTTTGGCAATAAAAAGAAGGAAAAAACAATCAGTCAATTGTTGAATAATATTGGTTGTTTTATTTTGATCAATTAGTTTTCTTTTTCAAATAAAATGTCACGACTTCAGATATGGATTATCGATGTCGGAAACAAGAGAAATTCTATAGAGATGAAAATCAGCATAGTTTGTTTCATATTTCTATGTAATTGTGAGAACACATTTTTGATATATTAATCGAAATGTGGTATTTCATGACTAAAATAATCGATTCAATAAAACTGATGATGGATGATAATTTGTTTAAAAGAAAAAGAAACTGTCGAGATCTTAGATGAAACTTCGATTTTCAATGAAATTCTTCAAATCGATTCATTCATGAATGAAAAACCATCAGAATTCAAATAAATCAAGAAATGTCTTTTCTATCAGGTTTTTAAAAAAATCAAAAAATTTGATTTGAACAATATCTCAAAATTATTAATAATAATGAATGATGTTCAATAATTTTGGTAATTTATTCTCCAGAAAATCAGTTTACTTATATTTTTTCTCAAAACTATTTAACCTTTTGGAAAAAACAACAAACAATGATAAAAGATTGATATACTAATTTCCATTTTGATCAAAACCAAAATGAATAACTTCGAAGTACTGTTTAGTAGATTTTAATTTTGATCGATATCTTATTTGAATGAATAAATTATCGATTATAAGCTTCGTATATTTCATAGGATTATTTCAAAGTGAAATTATCAGAGAAATTCAATGGCTTACCTCGTAATATATTTACCGTATTCAATAAAAGCTCAATAGCTTGAACAGGTAACGATATTGTTATATTAATAGTAGCCATAGTCGAATCGAATTGTGTAATCAATCTAAAAAAACAACAAACGAATCGTCGATGATCGATGTGTGATACAAAAGAATAATATGAATTTATATGTAGGTAAGTTTCGTGGGGAATTTACTCGAATCTTGACAGGAAGTAGGGAATTTCCTTTTCTCTTTATGTAATATCTATCGCTTACTCATATTTACCACATATCACTGAAGGAATAAAAACAACAAGATGGTTTTTTCCTTCCTTTTCATTATCTCGAGTAATGAGTTACCCAACAACAATCTTAACATGCAATGATATAAAGAGACGGATATTTCTTGTCGTAGAATATTCTCTCCCAAAATATTTATAACCAATCACTCAAATATATATATAGCGTATGACGCATCTCTTGTGCAAACTGAGGTCTTTATGTAGAAAAACCAACTTATTATCATTTGTCGGGAGAAGAATTTTACAACTGAAAAATCTTTGCAGAGATAATCAGTTTTATTCAGAAGTCATAGTTGTTTGTATGAATCATGGTAATATCTGTGATTCACAATCACGACCAACTTTTAATGTAGCTGTATAACGACTACTTTTTAATTTGGTGGAACTCTCATAATTTGTTTTAAATGGGTAACTTTAGACTTGATTCTTTTTTTTTTCTAGATTACCTTGCCTCATAATATTTGTGTCCGGGTTTTTTAATTTCTTTTTGCGATGTAGTTTGCAGCAATATTAGTCATCAATTTCACGACATATTTTATTGATTAATGGATAGAATAGAGGGAGACAGAATAACATTTTATGCTTCTATCAATATCTTAGAATCTCTGATAAAAAAACCATGAGTCATTGACAAACAGGAAGACAAAAAGAAGAAATATAAATATTCTTCGTCAGTACACTCAGCCATGAAAACATACAACAGTTGGAAATAATCTATTGGGTTTTTTAAGAGAAATTTCCAACGAAAATAATCTATTATTCATAGTTAATTATCATTTAAAAATAGACTTCATCTATAAACTTTGATTTGGACTGCGATGTTCGGTTTCAACATTATCCAAAATATTCTAGAAGCTGCAGCATTTCCGGTCATTGAAGTAATAAACACACCCAATCTATTGTCAGGTAAGCCATAGAGTTTTTCTTTTTGATTTTGAACAAGTAAATACTATCATGAAATGGATGATGCGCTCGGAACGAGAAAGAAACATTTCTTTTCTCCCGAAGTCTTTGCTTTGCTAATCTATATCTATTTTTAAAACCTGTTATAGTGCCGATTATTAAATGAATCTCAGTGTTCATACTTGATTAATCATGTGATAACGAAGATCTGTAGTATATTTTCAAAAAAAAATCTCCAATTTTTCTTTGAAACTTGTCTTCTTTCAGTCTAAAAGTATTTCTATTGATTTCTTAAAGGAAAGATGTGTGATGAAATTATCTACATAAATGTATAAGAATATGCAATACCCAATACTACGAAGAGAAATCGAAGAAAAAAGAAACATCTTGTAAAACTTCGACAAGTCCAACTTTCTAAAGTGTTGTTTTTTTGCAGAAACTTTGGCATCAGTTTTTACTATATTTACAAATAAAGAATCATTGAAGCAAATCATTTTTTTATGCAGTCAAATTTGCAAAATTTTCTTCATGTAAAGTGAGACTCATCTCCATCAANTTTTTAAAACCTGTTATAGTGCCGATTATTAAATGAATCTCAGTGTTCATACTTGATTAATCATGTGATAACGAAGATCTGTAGTATATTTTCAAAAAAATATCTCCAATTTTTCTTTGAAACTTGTCTTCTTTCAGTCTAAAAGTATTTCTATTGATTTCTTAAAGAAAAGATGTGTGATGAAATTATCTACATAAATGTATAAGAACATGCAATACCCAATACTACGAAGAGAAATCGAAGAAAAAAGAAACATCTTGTAAAACTTCGATAAGTCCAACTTTCTAAAGTGTTGTCTTTTTGCAGAAACTTCGGCATCAGTTTTTACTATATTTACAAATAAAGAATCATTGAAGCAAATCATTTTTTTCTGCAGTCAAATTTGCAAAATTTTCTTCATGTAAAGTGAGACTCATCTCCATCAAGTAATTATCTACTTCAACAAAAGAAATTCCTTCATGTCGATTTGAGAATGACCAAAGTTCGAGTAACTTTGTTGATTTTTCAAGGAACTCAGAATATATTTCACTTCTAAAGTTTCGATATATTCGCTGTTTCCTCTTGTTTGAGATATAAAAAAAAAGAGTTTAAAAGATTGTTCTTCGTTCTGTATGTATTGAATATACCCAAATAGTAGAGAAAATGCTTTGAGTTTTGTAATATCCTATAAAAAGAAAATTGTATCGTGTCTTGTACAGTATGATTGAAAACAACAATTTAATTATTGTTAACAGACAGAGCTTTTCAAGAGTTGATTTATGTTGTTTTTTGTTTATTAGAATGTAGAACATGTTTAAGTTTTACAAGATTTATTGTTTAGTATTTAGAGTTGATATTTGAAATCGAAGATTCTTTCATATATTCTCGATATGATATTTTGCCACACATTGTATCATAAAGAAATGGGAAAAGAAATCATTTAGATTGTAAAAGTAAATATTAAGTATTTTGGCTATTTTTTCTGAACTATCAAATATATCTGGTAGAATAAAGAAGTTCTCTGCATACAATTCATGATCTGTATTACAATTTACCATCGAAACCAATGGCCAGCTTATAAGAATTTTTCTTGAGAATCAGAAAAGAAGCTATAATTATCATTCCTATTTCTATTGGAGACAATTCATTTTCCTTGCAATACAAATTATCGCTTTAAGAGTACAATTTATCTTGCGAAAATATCTTCGATTTCATAATTTTAATATTGCTTTCGCATTCCAAAATCCGCATAGTTTTGAATTACTAGTCGCGGTTGATCTGTTGAGCGATTTGACTTGATAGTCAAATGTTGAAAGTGAAAAAATTGAAAATAAGAATACCTAAAATCCAAATGCCTTTTGGTCCTAGATTTCACTCTCATCATCACTGTTGTATTGTGTGTATTACAGTCTACTTATCACAACTTCGAAAAAGTTCTTTATCTATGATTTACAAGGATTTCTAATTTTCGACATTTTACTTTTTATCTTTAGCAACTTTACTTAATCATTTTTCTTGCGTCAACATTTAATAAAGACAACAAAAAATAGACCATGATAATAAATCAGAAGAGAATTTAATTGTTGTACTATCAAATAGATGATATCTACAATAGACTCAGCTTTGATTTAATTCTCCATTAAAGTGACATTGTACTTCATTTTTTTCTATCATCCAATGAATTGCTTTGATGAATACTTAAAGCGAAACACATCTAGCTTGTTCCATTATTGATACGAGAAAAATAATGTAGTATCTGAAAATAGATAGCGAAAAAAAGCACATCTTTCGCACATAACAAAGTAAAGCAAAACTATAAATGAGAATTTAAAGTGTAAAGTCTTCTATGTTGACTATTTATTATTTAGTTCATGCGCAAACTGATACGGTGAGGTCTTTGCACGATGAAATACAAAGGATGCGTGAAGAAATGTATGACAAACGCCAAGATTTGAAGAAATTGGAAAAGAGAACAAGAAGAAAGAATGTGAAATCATTTGATGATATTTCAAAAGATGAGAAACGACGTGAAAAACTTCTTGCTAAATTGGCTCGTAAAACTGAATCAATTAAAAAACAAGGTAACAATATTGGAATATTCGGATTAACATCAACTGGAAAATCAACCATGATCAATAGTCTTCTTGGAAAAAAACTTGCCGAAATAGGTATTGGTGAAACAACAAAAGAAATGACACCATATCATGGCACAAGATATATTCTTTGGGATACACCTGGTCGTAATGATGAATCTGCATATACAAATCAGGAATATATTTCTTTTATCAAAGGATTGACACGACGTCTTATTCTAATTCAATATACGATAAAAGAAATTTTGAATTTAATTCGTTTATTGGATGATCTTGGATTAGGTTATGATATTGTTGTTAACAAATTTGACGATATTGATGAAGATGAACAAGCTAAATTTCAACGTCAGATTCAACGTGAAATTTCATCACTCAAACTGAAACGAAAGAAAAATGTATTTTTTCTAAGTGCTCGATATCCTCGAATGTTTCCAAATTGGTTAGAAATGGTTCACTATTTGACAGAAGAATGTTTTGACTGTAAGAAATATTTTCAAAACCAATTTCATTAAACGTGTTTATATGCATTTTTTTTGTTTTCATTTAGACGATGATTGCATAGCTACACATACAGATTCAGAATCCAATTCAGATTCATCATCAAGTTCGGATACTGATGATGATAACTGACAATATAAATAAAATTCAAAATAACAATGAGCATCGTTCTTGATTTGATCCTATGCATTTTCTTCTTAATCGCGATTCTATTTGATCATCTTTTTGTTAACATTTGAAACTCAAGCAATATATAGATGCGAACTTCATCGAATATCTTTGAAGGTTTTATTTTCGATATTCCAAATAAATATCTCAGAATTTATCAAAAAAGAAATCATTGAAAAAAAAATCAATTATATTGTAGAATAAAATCGAACAATGTACGATTGCAATAATCTCATTGACTGAATGATACATTGAGTGAATTCAATACGAATCGATTTGTTTTTCTACACTCAGGCTAACTGATGGTATTTTGGGTGATTTACATTCAAGTTACCGATATACATTAGTATCAATGTGTGGTTTTCTTTTGATTTCATTCAAATGAGGCTTTTCGAGAGAACTTTCGTAAAACTGACAAAAAAGGCTATATTTTAATATGATATTATATTCAGAAAAATATTCTCAAAACGGCAAATTCTGAAATAAATGCTGCATAATAGTATCTCTTCTCAGCTATACATAGGTGGTAATATGCTAAGTTGTGAATTTTATTTAATTTTTCATCAATTTAAGTTAAGAAATGCATGATATCTCTTTCACCGACTTGGGAAAAAAGTTAAAATTGTCTTTATTCAATTCGATCTGGATCCGATGTTTCAATTGATTGGGTGTGTTTATTACTTCAATGACCGGAAATGCTGCAGCTTCTAGAATATTTTGGATAATGTTGAAACCGAACATCGCAGTCCAAATCAAAGTTTATAGATGAA